GTGTTTTAAGCCTTTATGCGCAAGACATTTGAGATCCAATAATATGTTATTGGACTGTTAAAGTAAAGCTATGCCTATTTTCTATTAGTCCTTAACACTGTGGAGGAGATGTCCAGTGATTTAAGATTGCACAGAAGTACAATTTTCTGTGACAGCTCAACAAATCCAAGTAGAATTATTTATAAGGAACACTTTTATGTCTAACTTTAGTCATAATTGAACCTCCTGTTTGATCTTGACAATCCGCTCGTCTGCTTAACTGTTTGTCTGACAGCTCATTTTCTTTTCTTTGTTGGACTGTTAACATAATAATAGAAATGATGTCCAAAACTATGAGCATAAGACCCATCATTTATTATGGGGCTGTTTAATATTAATGGCACATGTGGCACAGCAGGAATTATCCCTCATATATGCATCTATCAATGTGACAACGGCCCTGTCATGACACACGGACACAAAGAGAACAGCATCTGTCGCCCTATATTGACACATGCCAAAGAACAATCTATATAGACATGAATATTTAGATATACAATGGTGGATTTATTATATTTAACCAGCTGCCATGAATGAGAGAGGTTATATTTACCATGATTAGAATTGTATTTAAAACTGCTATGGTTATTGCCTATGGTTAAATGCTAAAACAAGACACAGTGATGTTGTTTGTTTCCTTTATATCTTCCTTCACTGCAAGTCAAGTGGGATGGATGAGGATCTTAATGGCCATCAGCCTGCTCTACAGAGTCAATGAGTAGCTTGTAATTGCTGGTTAAGCAGTTATTGGATGGAGGGTAAACAGTCTTGGTATGCTGATGGCTAGACGGATGGTTTCCAAACAACATGAGTGGACCCTAACTCACTGAGTTAAGTCTATATGGGACTTTGTTGAAAGGAACTTAATGAACACAAACTACATGTTGATTAAGGGGAAGCATTACAGGTGAATAGTGTACACAATCTATACATGATTTATCACCCTGAAAGTGTATCTGTTATTAAGTTTGTGATTTGCCAATTAAACAAATATGTTTTATTATCGATTGATACTAACATCATTTTATTAATTAATCAAATGATTGCTTGGTTTTCTTTATGAGAGTTCAAAACCCAAATATATTCAATTTATATTTATATAGGCTATGACCTGAGAAGGCAACACATCTTCAAATTTGGCAAGCTGGAACATGAGATGTTTTGACAATTTCTCTGGGAAGATTATTCAAACAAGAAGCGCATTTCAAAGTTGTTGAACATTATTTAACTAATCATTTCTTCCCTAGAGCTATAGCATGTTTCCACCAGCTTAGGAGGAAGGAAGTGGAAGTTGTAACATCTAAATTGTAACATCTAAATTGACCAGTCGGTCCAGTTTCAGCAGGCCTTTGACCTGATAAGGAAACAGAGTGACCCTTGAGGCAGCGAGGTTACTGAGGGGTCAGAGTTGTTACAGAGGGGCACTGAGGTTATCTGAGCTCGACAGCAGACGCTGTTTTATGGCTGAAACAACTCAAAACTGGGGGTCTCTTCTCTACACAAGAGATGTGTACAAACTGATCCACTGCCTGGAATTAAAGCTCAAATATATTTCTTGAAATCTGTAATGTGAAATTGAGCGCCTACAATTTGAAGGTTTGCGAAGAGAATTGCCTCAACGTTTTTGCAAGTACATCCTTAAAAAAAAATGTACCAATAAAAAGGTCCATCCATTTTAGAAGAAAATCCGGTCTCCAGTGCTAAAATATCAACTATAGGCCTACTGCATTTATTTGGAGGGATAAAAAAATGTAATAACAAAAAAATGTAAGAGCTCAATCTTTTTTGAAATGTTAACTTTTTTGCATCTGTGTGATATAACTGTGTGTAGTGGGGTCATCTTGTTTTACTGTGAAATTGAGGGGTGGGTAAGGTCATGAGTCAAACCTTCAGATCTATTTCAAGAAGAGATAGATTTCCCCCTCCTGTTCCTATCTTTATCTCTCAGGTTTTAGACTCAAACTCTGCCTAATATGCTGAATTTCTGCTGGATTGAGAACTGAGTTTATAAAACATTTGCAAAACGGAGTCATATAAAGTTTTCAATTTCTGTAAATACATATGAGCTAGTGTGTAGTAGGCCTCTGACATACAGTACAGAAGCAATGAGTGATAGCTTGTTTATATTACCTGCAAAGACATTTAAACTGTAGACACACACGTTTGGTTCATTCAATGTAGCGTCCCTTCATTCCTCCTCCCTCCCTTTCCACCAAAAAAACTTCAAATATTCATGAGGGATCACAACGCCCACAAAGAGTCATGTTCCCGCTCCTACAACTCTACACCAGCAAGCCGATACACTGTTCACAATACTTCAAGTCACATAATAACAAGGGAGTCACTTTACTGCTGATGCATTCCTCCAGTCATCCCCCCCCCCCCCCCCCCCCCACACACACACACACAGTGCATGTGGGTGTGTGATTGAAAAGCTATGTCTTATAGTTGATTATTTTTTTATTGTGACAGCAGGTAAAATAAAACATTATCACTTGGATAAAGTTAAATTAAAAACTGCAAACAGCGCAAAATAAAACCAATGAGTTTGGACCTGAGGCCTTTATGTCAGTACAAATTTACAAATAAGCTTCACCAACACTGCCTGACAAAGACTCTCCTTGTATGTTGACAACTGTTTGTATTGTGCATGAGAAAAAGATGGAGTTACCTTTAGGTTTCGAAAGGGTGCATTTGGGAGTGTCACACCAGATCCCTGTCTCTTTAAATCTCTTTGTCTTTCACAGCCAGGCAGCTACACACAACCACTCAAATCAAATCAAAAAATCCCCAAGGACCCTGCTCTCGGACGGGGGAGTGCCCCATCTCTTTCTCTCTGAGGATGGCTACCGGCTGAGAGTAATAAAGGCCTTTGTTATGCTGCCCTGCTGCAAATCTCTGTTGTTAAAGCTCAATGGGAAGGAGCATGACAATGTAAAACACATGCAGCAGAAAATATTTTATCAATCACCCAGATTAAGTATTGATTCTAGTAGAAACACAAACCAAATAACATGACAATTGTGTATACCACATCAGGTTAGGCAATTTGTGGTTGTCAAATTGATCAAAGAATAGAAAAAGTGTTTTAAACCTGATTACAACTGGAGTGGTACAATATAGATAAGGATTGAAAAGTCTTAAGTTTCTATATTACAGAGTCTGTGTGTCCAGGCCATTTACAGGCACACATGTTTAGCAGGTGCACAACTGCTTGGATACTGCATACAGTATCCAACCAACAGTACATTTAAAGTGACAGCTAACTGTATGCAAATTGCCATAGTGAGAAAAGTGGAGTTAAGTTCCAAAAAACAGGCTTTTTAAATGAGAAAATTAACCTTGTGAGTTATCACATGCTATTTTTTTAAGAATCACATCAAGCATCACAGGCTTACTTACTTGTGTTACTCCAGTTTCAGATTCTGAAACCACGTTGTCAGCTTCTTCATAAAATCTTGCCACTTTCCCCAGAACAGTAGTCCATCAAGCTCTGGAAGTTCATGGCACAGGACACAGGTGTAATATAAATCAGAGTTAGTCCCAGCAGCGTGGTTTCCAGAGGAGAAAATGTCCCAACAACTTCACTGGTGTGGGCAAGTACCCACCACTACATCAAGCACGGTGTCTTTTCAAAAGACTAGTGTGGGACCAGTGGATTTAGGAAAAACCTGGAGTGGATTTCGGAGTGGACTACATTTACAAAGAAGACAAGAGAGATGGATTAGTCATTAATTCCGATCTTCCATTCAACACAAGGAACAAAAAGCGGAACAGCATGATTCAATTATTTTACATGAGAAATAAACACATTCTGATATCGGTGTTACCCATAGACTGTATATGGTATTACCCTACCAGTGTGACAATAACTATACATTTTAGTTACATTAAATGTTGATGATAATATACTATTTGTCATTGTATTTATTTAGTTGATGACTGTAACAGTTCTCATTTTCCACAGTAGCCTAGTATTTGAAAATGACGAGGAAGCAAGTTGTCCTAAATTCTCTTATGAAGTTAAAACCGTTTTCAGATTTGTTTTTTAATAATCTTCATCCTGCTCCTTCGGGTTTATTAACTTTAAGATTACATTTTACAAATTGTGGAGTTATATTAATTATACAGTATGGCAGGTGACTATGCAAAACATCAATGCCCTTATGTAACATTCAAATACTGACCAATAATTGCACTCAACGTTCCTACCTGCATTAATAATGAATCATAATTTGAGTTTAAACAAAAAAATGCAGCCACATAATACACACACATGTTAACCTCTTCAGGAACATACATTTTTCTTGTTAACTCCAGCTTCAAAAAGTTTGCTCTGCCTTCCCCCTGTTGTCTTTCTCAGCCATGGTTTCCCTCCCACTCCTCCCTCAGTGACAGTTCAAAGTCTGGCAGCAACAGCCATCCGCCTGAAATGCACCTTACAATTTAAACCAGGCCACCAATCACAAGCCTCATGGGCCGTAACAGTCTCTAGTAACATTTGCACAACAAAAGAGAGCTGATTCATCAACCCCCCCTCCCCTCTTCTCTCCCTTTCCCTTCCCCTGTGACTCCTCCTCTACTGCCTTTGTGTTCGGACCCGAAATCCCCTTCTGCCCCAGCGACCCACCTCCCTTGCACTAATCTCCTTGAGCCCATTGGGTTGACTGCTTCAGTGCCACTTCTCACTGCACAGAGACCCCCAAAGGACACACAGCACAGTCTGGCTTCATTTGAAGGCCCTTTTCCTCCTCCTCCTCCTCCGCCTCCTCCTCCTCAGCCGTGCATGGATGAAGCATGGACCGCACCACAGCACATGGAAGCACAAGGTGTAACTTTGGCAGTGGCCTTGTTCTGCAAAAAATAATGACAATCACATGAGGCTAATCCTGGACACACAGGACATTTTCTTTTGGTGCTTATGTTTTAGGACTCAAGAAATAATATACAGTGAAAATCAATGGATTCAAATCATAATTTATTAATTAGTTTTTTCTCCTACATTTCTGCAATGATGCCATTATAAATTAAGGGCAGGTTCCAGGCTTAGTCTAATTTCTGTTCTATTTCAGTGCCCAGCTCCTCACATTACAGCTAAAAGGGCCCTCTTTGTAGGTACTTAAAGACCCCCTCACATACACACAACATGTAAGGCTCCCATGGGGTTTGAGGGAGCGGCCAATATAGAGTTTGGCCTTTTCTTTGCTTTGTATTTCACATATAGTGTTTCTATAGCAACAGTAAGAGGGTACCAGTGGACCCCCCTCTCCATTTTGAACACCATCAACATACCCCGCCCCCGCCGTGTGATTAGTGGGGTGTCCAACACACACCAACAGCAGGATATGCTTGGCTGTGTTTTAATGGGGTAAGTGAAAGCAAAGGGATTCATGTCTGCGTATGAGATATAGTTTTACGATCATTTCAAATGTCTAAAGACTGAAATACAGCAACAACAAACCACACACCTTTGCAACAGGTGTAATGAAAAAAATGAGTTTTCTTTTTCTTTTTCAAAGCATTCATTGGCATATTTGTCTCACATGACAAATCAGAGATGGATGGCATGTAACCTGGTGAGCCTTTTTAGATATATCAGGGGGCAAAGAAAAAGGGATACAGTAGAAAAAAGAACTGTAAGTTGTCTCGTTTTGATCCATATATTTTGTCTTGGAATGGCAAAGTCACTTGGTGTATCAAGTCCTCTTAAAGATCCTCCTCATCAGTCTGAATAAAGCATTGTCCCTGACCGCCTTGGAGGCTCTCTCCCATAGGCTGTCTTCCTTCCACAGTCCCCGCCCTTTCCTCTCAGCTTTGACCTCTGCCCTGTGCAGCCGTTTGAGGAGACGCCAGTAGAGGCGAGAGTCGGGCCGGACCCCAACCACGGGTGCACTGCGAGCCAGACCCAGCCGAAGGACCTCTTCGTTCACACAATAGCTAAACATCGACCCCTCCTGGAAAGATAAGGAAAGTACATCCTGCAATATCAGTTTGACATCATGTATACAAATATGATTTTGGTTGTGAGACTGATAATCCCCCTTCCCTTTATCTTAGTGATGAGATGCCTCACCCTGCTTTGAGACACCAAACAGTGAAGCCTGTCATCCTCTCGACTGATGAGTTTTAGCCAGACTGTTTGCGCAGGAGCCAGGTTCTTCTGCAGCCATTCCCTGCCCTCTGGAGTCAACTCCACTCCTGCAAGATGCACCAGCATCGGGGACGTGCACACACCTAAGAGCACATCAAATAACCATTTACCATACGTGTTATAGTAAAGCGTATAGGTTATAGCTGACCATGTAGTAATGCACAATGTTAGTTACTGAATATCGTTTTTGTTAGATTTTTTGTTTAATATTTGTGCCAATATGATACAGAGGTTTGGTACCAATACATCCACATATCAATTACCACAATGTTTTTTTTTTTTTTATTAAAGGAACTTACATTACAAAAGCCATATTTTTTGGAAACACAGGCAGATGTACAATAACTTTGCATAAATAAAGTCTAACATTGGAAAGATCAATAACTTACGAATCAAGACTATTGACCAGATTCTCCTTGTACCAAAAACAGTTTTGAAGCATTGAAATTCAATATCAAGCCCTTTTGGGATTGACTGAGACTTTATATAAAAAACAGCAATCTCAGCCGCATGCTTAAAATAAACACAAGTAAACTATCTTTAACAGACACAGTACAAAACAATGGGTCTAACCAGTTTTAATTGGTCTGAGGTCGATAGGGACAAAGGTAATATGTGAGAAATTTGACAATCTGTTCATGTGAGTCCTTCACACTAAAGTTGCTGATGGAGCATGCTATATAAAGCATAAGCTGCTTGATGTAATTGCTCAGTGAATTCCATGATTTGATAATACTGGTAACAAGCTTACCTGTCACTCTGACTCATGAAAGGATAATCAATTGCAAACAGCTTGACAAAGTAAAAATGCCACAAAGACATTTTTGGTTATAACTATACAAAGGTGTACCTGCAGTAAATTGTTTAGCTGTTGTTTGTGTAACTTGCTGCAGTTAAATACCATCATACTATGTGCAATATGTGCTATATGTGCAATATATACATCATATATATGCCATTAATAACTGTGTAATACATTCCTGGCTGCTAAATCCTAAGAACTGTTACAGGATTTGTATTTTGGAAAGTATTTTTCTTTTACTTTTTATATTATATTTGTATTATATCATAACTTAGTACTTTTTTCTTAACATAGGTGCTGTCTGTGGCTCTTTCCTGCTGTAACGATGCAAATTTCCCCTCTGTGGGACTAATAAAGGTTCTAAATCTGATTCTGAACAAACAGGAGAATAATACATGTGCTGATTGGACCATTTAAATGTGTACAAGTCATGTAAGTTATACTTGTGTAAGTACCCATATAAATGTGTGTGTGTGTGTGTGTGTGTGTGTGTGTGTGTGTGTGTGTGTGTGTGTGTGTGTGTGTGTGTGTGTGTGTGTGTGTGTGTGTGTGTGTGTGTGTCAGAGGATACCCTGCATTACCTTGTTTTCTCGAAAGCATCCCAGAGAGTACTGGCAGATATATTGGAACATGTTCCACTTTAAGTCCTCTCTCTGTGATTGAATGAACTTTCCCACGGAGGCTGACGTTCCTCTCAATGAAACGGGCTGGGATCTCAGACACAGCTTGAAATGTGGTGATCTGAAGAAGTGGAAGTGGAAAAAGACAGCTGAGTGGCCATGTCTGATTACTCATTTGGGTAACATTTCTGAGTGCATTTCATTAACATCCTTAAAGGCCAATATTATACGACACAGTGTGCCGTTACCCTCTTACCAGTTTGATACTCCGTGCTATTACTATAACGCCAACAACAGCCAGTCCAGTGCTTATGTTCTGAAAAGAGAATAGAGAGGAAGAGAGGGTTGCAGTTGACAGAGGGATGACAGGGATACCATAAATCCAGCAGAGCATGTGCAGGATAATGACAATGAGAAAGACTTTGACAGAGATATTAGTGACACAGGGGCATGACCGGAAACCCACTGGGGACACCCCGTTAAGCCCAGCAGGATATCTGTGTTGTGACAACGTGGTAGTTTTGAAGGAGTTGTTCCTGAATTGTTAATTTTTTTGAAGAACAGATTTCTGAATCGCATTTATATATGTTTTTTCCCTCCTCTTTTACCAATACTACCGCCACGGAAACGTAGTTGCAGGTGGCTCACGTGCATTAGGACCATAACATTGCAGGTCCATGCCCGTGTATCACCAGTCATTTGTAGGTTGCAAAACGGAGAATCCTACCCGCACAAGGGTCAAATGATCGTCTGCAAACTTGGATATTGAAGACACGATGTTGTTGGACGACTGGTGTCCTTGATATCTTTGTTGTCTAACAGTAATTTCCGCGTCAGTTTCTCTGGAAGACTCCGGCATGTTGACATTTATTCGATGCATCCGGCGCACCGCCTTTATGGGTGGGACGTACAGGGGTATTGCTTGTGTGAAGTCTCCGCCCTGTGGTTTGGTTGGGATATGACAGGATGAGATCTCTATATGTCCATATACGCCTAAGTTAATTAATATGTTATAAAATAAAACAAACTCAAATGTTCCTTAAAGTGCACTTTGCACTCGAAATGTCAACGTTATTAGCTACAGAAAGCTCATTTTAGCACAGTAGTATAGCGGCGGGAAAAAAGTAGTTGTTGCTCTTTGAAGCTGAGATTCATTTGATCACTCTAGTAACCTAATAAATACCTCTGTGATCAGTGATGTCCCCATCTTTGTCTGCAAAAATGGACATAGACAACTTCATACTGCAGAATAAATCAATGCACAAAGCAAAACGCCAGACAGACATTATAATTTCTCCCTAATATTAAAATATAATATTTCATATTATGTGCAAAAAAACACCCCAATAACTTACTGTATAAATATCTCAGTTTCTTATAACAGTCACATGCGGCAGATGTTGCATGTGAAACATGTTAAGTAACAGACATCATTGAGGAGTGACCACTGACTGTATGACAGATGCACTGGAGCTCTCATCTTGTAAACTGTGAAGTCATGGAGCTACTTGAAGACGGATGACGCCCCCATTACCACAAATTGGCCAATAGGAGTTGAGAGGCAGAGTTGTCCTCCTGGCCGCCATTAAAGAATTCAATCCATGAACTGAAATAATGGAAATCTGCAGGACCCATGGATCAGGCAGAGAAAAGTAGCCGATGAGTAGTGTCGCCAATTTAGCATTTCGTTTGTTTTAAGAGTAGTTTTACTATGACGGAGCCCTGTGATGGTTTTAGCGAAAAGGAGGGCGGTGTAGCTAATTGTTTTATTTAGCTAGCAAGCTAGCGTTGGAGCTCTGGTATGTTAGCTTTTGTGCTAGCAGGCTAGGAGAGATCAGGGGGAGGGGAGAGTTCCTTTGCTTTGAAATTGTTTCAGATCAGCTAGCTAGCGTTAGCATTAGCACACCGGGAACTAAGCTTTTGGGGTGAAGTTTTTTAGTTTTCGAGCTCGTATTTTTTATTGCGCATCTAACTTTTCTGGTATTTGATTTATCGTTTGTCTGTTCAGGTCATGTTTACGTTGACTATTCAATAAGGTAATGTAGTAGCAAGATTGCGGCTAACCAGATCAGACAATACATTTCAAATAGGATTGATGAACCGAATAGCTAGAAGCTTACAGTTGACGCTGGGTGCCTGTCTAACGTTAGCTTAGCTACCGGGCTAGTGGTGGCTAGCGCCGGTTAGAAGTTGTCTGGTTGACTAGCGGCAGCTAGCTGTAGCTAGCAAGTTGGTCAGCGCTTAAACGGTATAATTACAACGGAACACCGCTTCCACAGCAAGTTACCTACATCGGCTATTGCCCCAGACGGTGATTGAGACAATGGACCTTTACGTTACAACCACGCAGTGAAAGGATGAGTTCGTGCTTTGTACCAAACGGGGCCAGTTTGGAGGACTGCCACTCCAATCTCTTCTGCCTGGTAAGTCTCTGCTATATGCGCTAGCTAGCGTTAGCTATGATACTGAGAGGCCAGAAAGCCATTTTGGCTAATCAGGCAACAAGCTTTGTAATGTCAGTTGCAGACTGGCTTTAAGGCATCGGGCCTGCAAAATACACATCATGATCTAGATAACTTTCATAATAAAGACAGCACACACTGCAGAGCAAGTACACTGAAGACTTTTCCCTGAAAATGGCATAGTTGCATGTTTACACTGCATTGGTTACAGACATACCCAACTAGCATTAACGTTATGATGGTAACAGGTCAAGCCAACTGGCGAATTATTATAACATTTCAAAACATTTTACATTTCATTAATTACAGTGACAATGTTGTATTAAACCATATTCATATTGGAGGTAAAATCACATAGTTACTGTTTAATAAATGAGACAAACTAATCAGATATGATACTGACATGCAGTGGTGCGTCACTTGTTGTTAATAACTGTTGAGTAAATTACCTCATGACAGTTATGTTTTTAGGCATCATTGTGGTCTCAGATGTACAAAGTATTGCAAAACTTTCCAAGATGTCAGAAAGTCTCAGTTTTCAACTTTTTTTTCATTCAAAGTGATTTTCTGAATGACAGCAGTCTTCAGCTTCACATCACTGTGTGTGTTTATGGGAAGAAACACACATACACACTTACAGTCATAAAGCCAACAACAGATGATTGAGCTCCTGCTGTGCAGCTATGTTGTGCTTCATTCTGACAATGTTATTCTCTTTTTTTCTAGGCTGATTTGACTGGAATAAAATGGCGGCGATTTGTATGGCAAGGACCCACCTCATCGCCCATCCTTTTCCCTGTGACCGAGGAAGACCCTATATTGTGTAGTTTCAGCCGATGCCTGTCTGCAGATGTGCTGAGTGTGTGGAGAAGGCACCACACCCCGGGTCGCAGGGAGCTCTGGCTTTTCTGGTGGGGGGATGACCCCAGTTTTGCCGAGCTTATCCATAATGAGCTCTCAAGTAAGTACATGCAACACCTCCATGTCTATCAGAATTGGTTACACTATAATACATGTAATTCTTCAGTGTAAATAGCAACAGTATCAACACATCTGCCCCAAGTTATATGCATGTTCTCATAGAATCCAAGCAGTTTGTTAAGTGCTCTAGAATTGGCCTCATTATGTTATTTAAAAAATAATAATACAGAGTAGTGGTTGAAATTATTAACAGATACAGTCTAGAGCTGCAGGCAACATTTGTCCATATTAAAAGCTCTGTTCATGTTTAAACATGTTAAGGGTTTGTTGACGATGATAACAATTCTGAACTGCGGCAATTAATTCAAATACAGTTTTAAAGATCTGAGGTCTGATAATAATAAGTTGTGAGAATCCATTGACTCTCAGCCACGGATGTACAGTATTATGTAAACAAGGTTTGTTCATCAGTCACCTGACTCAGTCTTGATTTTGGACCAAGGGTTCTTTGCATCTTTCTTTAATAATATATCTCTCAAACAATTCCCTTTTTAAGGGCTGCTCCACTGACCAGATTCTCTGTCTCCTGTCTCAAGGAGGGTCAAGTGCTAATTGAAAACAACACGGAGACAAGAGAGAGCCACCTTTTCACAACTCTTAGATAAATGCAAAGTCATTCCGCAGGTTTAATTTCGAGTTATATGGCTTTTAATAAAGCACAAGTGACTACAGCAGGATTCAAACACATATCTACTTGCAGATACATTTTTGAACTTTTCACAATAATGCTGTTTCTAGTGTAATTGGTAATGTTTATTGTTTCGTTTCACATAAGTCATCAATGTTATCACCTAAGTGGCATACTAATTCTATTTTGGATCATGTTATTGTATAATTATCAATAAGATGAATGTTGAAATCAAATGTTTTCATATTCTCAAACAAGTCACTTCAGGTATTATGCAATTAGTTGTTTACAAACATTACAAAGTCCCCTTATACGGGTCAACCCATTTATTTGATCACAGTTTACAGTTATGAGACAGTTTTTTTTAATAAGGAAGAAGTGATATATTTTTCTTTCAAGTAACTGATTTCTTGTATCTGCAATGTTTCAGGTGAAGAGGATGGTGAGTGGGAGAGTGGCCTGTCCTACGAGTGTAGAACGCTTCTTTTCAAAGCCATCCACAACCTGTTGGAGCGGTGTCTCATGAACCGTGGCTTTGTTCGCATCGGCAAGTGGTTTGTTAAGCCATACCAAAAGGAGGAGAAGACCATTAATAAAAGGTATGTCCTGTTTCCAAGTAGCAGTCAACAAAGTTATACGACATGCCATAAATTGTCTAATTAAAGCAGACACTTAACCGATTGTCGGGTAGCAAGTTATAGCTGTTGTGCGTTTTGTTTGAATCTCTACCTCTACCTGTTGTATTGGTTCAACATCAGGGTGACTCTTATCGATTGCTGTGGTTTTCTAGTTTTAACAGAAATACTGTCCTCACTCACTGATTTACTACTGATTTACTAATCATGACAGGTTTGACTTTTGTCATTGTAAATGCCGCTATTAATGAATCTCAACATTACCAACAGATGTTTCACAAAATCATTTTCCACTAAAAAGAAGGGGCATTGTGTTGCCCAATTAGCTGGGAATGTTTTAATATGAACATGTTGACATTATTTTTAGTCAAAAAAGTCGGAATACCTATTCAGAAGTTGAAAAGGTGCCACTTACCCATTTGGCAATGGTCTTGTCTTACCTAAATCATAACTGTCATACTTGCATGTCAAGGTGTTTGTTTATAACACACAAGCAACACAATCGCTGAAGATAAATGTGGCAGTAGAGCAGGATTGCATGATTTGTGCTTGTGCTGAATGACTGAACATTAGTCAGCTTTTGGTATCGGAGACTGGTTTAAGATTTGCATCATGTGGGGGTTGTGCTTTATAAAGAGGTGGACTAACTGTGCAGCATGATACATTTGTTGGGAAAAGGGTTTGAAGCCTGCATGCAAAATACTAAAGACGGATGCCTATGAATGTTAAGCAAATGTGTGCTGCAAAGCAATCTGGGAAGCCCCATTGGAGGAGATGTCTTGCATAACAGTTCCTGCCCTATGACAGCCTTTAATTGTCAAAATCCCCTTTTGGGAATCAGCTTTGATGTGGTTTTTGCAGCTGTATTGTTCCAACTATGTTGTTATAATTAGATGGCACTTTAAGGTAATGAGACATCATTTTACTATAAGAAAGATAGCTTGAACAAATACACACAAGGCTTTCCTTAAGTAGTGTATCCACGTCACTAAACTGACTGCTTATCTGCTGTTCTGATTTCGCTTCTCTATGTTGTTGTACTCTGAGGTCAGTTGTAACTCGTGTTGATGAAGCATTTGCAAGTACATACATGTTGCCTGCAATACACAGAACATTTAGATTCCTATAATTCTACAGATGTAACAATGTGGTTGTGTATGACAGGATTATAACT